CAGACCCAGGTGGGCGGCGGGATGGGGCAGCCGGGGCCTCCTGCCTGTCGCCTTTGGGCCCTTATGTCTGAGCTGCTCCTGGGCCGTTGGCCTGGGGTCCCCACAGGCTCTTTTTGAGGCTCTTTGGGCTTTGTTATCGCTGTCACAACCGCAGAATATCAGTAATGCAGTTAGATTGCAGTGGGCAGCTGCTCTGGTCCCCACCTTGTCCGTGAGCATCGTGGAGAGAGGACCAACCCCTCCAGCTCAGGGGCAGACAGGCCCAGGCTGGTGCCGCTGGAAAATGAGCTCTTCTTCTCCAGGCCTCGCTGCAGAAGGGCAGCACTTCAGAGGGCTCTGGGAGCCTGACAGTTTCTCATCTAGTTCTGGGGCAACAAGCTCCCAGCTCTCAATTTGCTCACATCCTCAAGAGTCGTAAGAAAAGACCTGCAGTCCCGAGCTCAACTGCCTGCTCCTGCTGGACGATGTTGCCTGCTCTCTGTAACCTGCTTCTTGGGACAGCTCCAAGATAAGCCTCTGGAAATGCCAGCACCTCAAATTCACTTTCCAGGTGCCTCACAGCGGGCTGGGTCTGTTTTCAGCGCTGGTCAGGGAGGACCCCAGAGGTCACGGTGCAGAGCTTTGCTGGCAGAAAACGAGGTGGCTTGTTCTGCGGTGCTGACCACCAGCCCTCACAAGTGCTGCTGCTGATCCTCTGACACATCTGAGTGCCGGGACCGTGTTTCCAATCCCCTGTCTCCAGGGCAGCAGGTCTGCCGGCCGGTTCCTCACCTCCCAGCCTGCCTGGGCAGCCCAGGGCTGCTGGGTGGGTTTCCCTGTCAGGGACAGAATGGCAGGTGTGACAAGAGTGGTGCTGCGTCCCCATCCCCAGTGGCTTGAGTCCAAGCTGTAGCTCATCACTGCACGTGTAATTAGATGCTTAAGCATTACATCTTGAATTGCTCTGTTCATTAGCATCTCTCATGCATGGCTTTTTGCTAATTACATTATCCTATTGCTACGCGTTCACTCCACTGTTAATTGCTAGCAGCAAGATTTGTTTAACTAAACATGTTATTTTAAGCTTACACATTTTGTGTCCTTAAACATTCACTTTAGAGACTTGTTGGCCTGCTCGCCTTCTGGATCGTGGGTGGGTTCTCTGGATGCCAGGTATCCAGCTGCTTTATCTGACATGGTTTAGAGTAACTAATAGCATGACTTTTGCCTCTATCACGGTGGTTCTTTGCCACCACAGTTGTGCTATTTTGTTGAAACACGTCAAATAAATTCAGCCTAGAGCAGGTACCTGTCAAAGAAAACAGTCCAAACGCTTGGCTTGGTGAGGTTAGAGACAGCTGTAAGGAAGGTTCCCAGTGGATGGTGTCAACTCACAGTAGCTACGATTCATAGAGCCATTAATAAAGAGCACATTCCCCGTGGGCTCCACGGTGACATCCATGTGTGGGTCCAGCCTGGCTGCTGAAGCAGCAGCATGGATGGGAATGGAAGTGAGTGTGGAGGGAGATATGTCAAGGCTGTGCACAGGTGGTGGAACCTGCCTTCCTCACGACTAATTGTTCAGCCTATTGGCCCATCTCAGCCTTCTGTCACAGAGAGACATTTAAAAAATAATAAGGTTTCTACAAATGTAGTAAGATTTGTTCTGAGGGAACAGAAGAGCTGGCTTTGAAAGTTTGCCTTTAGTAACCTAGAACGTGTTAAAGTCATTGTGGCAAATTGCCTGGCACTGTCCAGGTACTTGGATGAAGAAGGACAATTTTATAGGTGCCTTCATTGACAGCCAGCACTCAATAACTCAGCATCCAGCCAGCAAGTGCACAAGACGACCAGACTTCCCATGCTTGCGGAATTCCTCCTTCTGCTCTTGCGTTGTTGTTGA